GTGCTTCCGGCTGGGTCCCGGATGCGGCTACCTGCCTCTCAAGGGCACACGCTCACAACACACACACACACACACACACACACACATGCATGCTCCTGCCCGTGTCCCCCCGCCCACCCACCCTCTCCCTCCCGCCCTTGCCCACCCCACCCGCCTGCCGCAGGGCCAGGGCTACGGCGCCTATGCTGCCGAGGTGCCTCGCGACTCCGCCTATGCTTTGGCCATGAATGGCGCGGGATCGCTGGTGGCGGCGGGATCCACACAGGTGGCAGGGCCGGGTGTGCGGGTGGCGGCCGGGGCACCTGCGCAGGCCTGCCAAGCAGCCGGCAGCCGGCAGCGTGGGGGGGTGGCGGCTCGGGAGCGGGAGGTGGGGAGGGGGTGTGGGATGGTCCCGATCGGGTCTGACGAGCCCTGCCTGCCTGCTGGCTGGCTGGCTGGGGGCGGGTGTGGGTGCAGGGTGTGGCCAGCGTGGTGGACGTGCGCAGCGGGCAGGGCGTGATGGCGCTCAAGGGCCACACCGACAACATCAGGCAAGCTCTTCATGCTGTGCTGTGCTGTGTGGCGCGGGCGCTGCCTGCTCTGGCTGTGCTGCCCTGTGCCCCGCTGCGTGCCGCCCTGCCCGCTTCTCCCTGTTGTGTCGGTGTGTGTGCCGGTCGGTGTGGCTGTGCCTGTGCCCGTCCTGTGCGTGCTCCTCTCGAGGCGGGCGCCCCACGCCTCACCCATGCCCAGGCTCCCACCCGCACCCCGCCACCTACCTCACCTCAACACACACACACACACACACACACACACACAACACAACACAACACAACACAACACAACACAACACAACACAACACAACACAACACAACACAACACAACACAACACACCTGCAGGGCGCTGCAGCTGGACGGCGAGGGCCGCCTGCTGCTCAGCGGGTCGGCCGACCACAGCGTGCGGCTGTGGGACCTGGGCCAGCAGCGCTGCGTGCAGACGCTGGCCGTCCACACCGACAGCGTGTGGGCGCTGGCGGCGGGGCCCGGCTTTGCCGCGGTGTACAGCGGCGGGCGGGACGGCTGCATCTATCGGTGGGTGTGGCTGGTGGAGGGGGGGTTGGAGGGGTGGGGGGGAGTAAGGGGTAGTGTGCATGTGGGTGGGTGGGAGGGTAAGTGTGTGGGTGTGTGGATGCCTCGAGGGCGGCGTGGTTTCTGCCGCTGCAGGCCCCCCGCTGGCGCTGCGCAGCGCCGCCTGTTCCCGCCCCTGATCC